ATTATTGGGGTGAGCATTGCAGCTTTAGAATCAGTAGAAATGCGACTGACAGTAACTGAACAGTACTAAATAAGAACGAGATATCCCGAGATATGATAGCCGGAACGAGAACAATCTTCTTCCGTAGATTAAATAAAGTGGTTAGTTTTATTGGTGGGGAGAATCGATGAAACATTTAAATCCAGAGGACTGAAATGCAATCACGTTTTAGAGATATTCCGTAATAAAGCGTCATTATTTTTTTTATATATATTTTGGAGGTGTTGGGGGGGGCGTTCCAAATCCTAAACTCGAACCTATGCTCTACTTCATGAGTATCACATGCTGATGTATTAAGAACACTACAACAGTGGGAATTGGAAATATGAGAAGAGTTATATTAAGAGGTTTTATATAATAAATAGATTTATATATTTGTGTTAGCCTGTGTTTTTTGAAGAGTTTTCGCTGTTATGTTGGAAAAATTGCCGACAAGCTGTCGTCTCCTCTACTTAGGTGGGCTTCTCTTTCAATACAGAAAAAAAAATCATGAGCATAATTAAGAATGGCAGTCCGTGATAAGAGTAGTCTATAGAAAGGCAACCGCATAAGAGTTAAGTAGACAGACAACTCAAAAAAATAATTGGGGGGAGAAAAATGTTCGAATCGTTTGACTAGTAATTCTACTCAGAATTTCGTCGTTGTCAGCTCAAAAGACTAAATCACTCTATTTTCATTTTTTGAGTTTTGATCACTAAACTGATAACACACATGAAAAAGGGATTCATAATTTCAACCACAGACCTGGAATCCCGACCAAGATCTATTCACCCCCTACACACATAAAAAAGCAATATCTGGCTAACTGGCGCGGATTTTTGGAAGAGGGTGATACTGGCAAAGTTTCAACACAACCTCTTAAAGCCAGTTTTTACATGCTGTTTCTACACATTGTGTTAACCCATTTTTTATTCAGTGTAACAATTTGAAACAAAGGGATATTTCACATGAGACTTTCTCTCATTTAGTGACAAATCCTAACATTCTTCCATTGAGTCTTAAGTTCTACAACATAACACAATTATTTTATTATTTGTATATCATTGATTATGCCTCCTTATTCTCCGGGGAACTTAGGACCGGAAAAACACCTCTCCAGCGGACGCATGTCGTGCCGGCTGCCTTCCCGCGAGATTTTCACCAACACGCGGCATACGCTCCACTTGGGGGACCCTTCCTCGGCCATGACGTTGTTTGAAGCTATCCTTGAGGTTTCTGTAACAAACTAATTTTTAAGTAAGTTGTGTCGTTCGTCTAGCTCCTACCCCACAGAATTGTTGAGCTTGGTTAGACCTGCTAAGGGCCGAAGCCCCCTCCCACAAAAGCGTATATGTTGACCATCTACACCACTTTATACAAAAAGTTGAAAAGGAACTCCTAGAATACTAGGAAGAGTGATAATAGCTACGGAATTTGATGAAGCTATTTACCTGAAAAACGGTTTAAGTGAGTTATTTAGTTCCTTTCTACTAACAGTAATACTATATGTTCGGTCAATAAATGCCGAATTTTTCCTGATAATGGAACGGCTAATATGAACATTGCTACTACAAACGTACATACATAAATATATACACAATATATGAGTGTGTGTGTAGATGTGTGCGTGTGTGTTTGAACGCAAATTGAGATACGAGCAATGAAATACATGGAAATCGATTTCTCAAAAATATATAATGTATTTAATGCTCCTTTGGTTGTATCTGATGTCTAGGAGACAACGGCCGAAATGTTGCGAATATAACAACAAAGATGGGGACAATTCTCCGAGTATCCGAATATACCTGATGCTAGAGCTGCTATCTAATGCTTGTTGCAGATGTCTGCTCAGGCATATTTGTGTTAGCTCAACACTCATAGAGTAGAGCTGTGGCTTATAGTGCAACTATGCTGTACTGACCTTAGTTCCAGTTTCTGGGAGAGAGTGCATTATTTGGCGGGATCAGCAGTCTAAACAAGGCCAGTAAAACCCTTGGTAACGATGTCTTTAGACTTTGTGTTAGTTCAATCATCGACGGCTCCCAAATGGTCCTTTCTTCCCAATTCCACTCACTAGGCCTTGATCACATGCAGTATTGCTTTTCAGTCTATTTATAAAGGGGCCGCATGCTAGAATCACATCTACAGGTCGATAAGAAGTCAGCTTCTTACCCAATCGACCATAGTGCGTTTCAAACCTATATCTCATTGTATCCGAGTTTAAACAAATGATAAATTCTCATTCCAGAAATTCAGACAGAATATATATATATATATGTTGTAGATTTACCAAATGTGCTAGAAACTACCTTAAGGGCCGGTGTAACAATCATTTAAATCCAGAGGACTGAAAAGCAAACATATTCTGGTGATGTTACATAATAAATCACTCTTAGTTTTTTTTTATAATAATAAAATAAGTAAACTGATAGTACGTAACAGTTTACTTACCTTTTCTTTGATTCTAACGAAATTTTTTTCTTTTTCTTAATACACTGATTATCTTTTGGAAAGCATCTTTCCTTATCCGAATACACATTCAGATTTTGGTGGTACATTTTCGTCCTCTGTTAGAAAACTTCCCAGCCATTTAAATTTTCATACTTGCTTAATTTCGACATCTCCAGTTTGCATTTTAGGTGTTACTTTTGCCGACAAACATATATTCTGTCTTATAATAGATGATCACTCCTTTCGTTTCGCTTACTTTTACTATCTTCTGCACACGCTATTGCAATTTCCTTTTGGTGTCTGCTATGAATACTGAGTCATCTGCATATCTTATGTTGTTAAACGTGTCTACAGCAATAATAAATCCTGGTAGAACTTCCAAATCTCTCAGGATCGCCTTGCTGTAAAGGGTAAATGTATTCAGTGAGAAGACGTCCTTGTCTAACACTCTTTTCTAATTTTGTGTATTTACGGAATTTATTTTCTATCTGCAAAAAGACGGCTTCCTCCCAGTATAGTTTCTGCCTTTTCTAAAGTCTTTCCTAAATAGATCATGCTGATCTAGCAGTTTAAACAGCTGTGTCGTCCGTTATAAAAAAGTTTTTGCATATTCTATAAAACATTATTATACATCCTTATGCATTTGTATTGCCTTTTGTGATATAATTATGAGCAGGAATAAAGCATTGTTTCAATGTCTTCCCCGAAACGTAACTTGCAAATTCTTATTTAAATAGAAAAACGAGAAAAATATCTTTGTTTTCTAAACTTGTTTTTTGAAATCGTCATGAATAATTTTCTATATATTTTAAAATGAAGTTGCTCTCATATTTAAATGAGCATATTACAAGCACTCTTATGGTTGGCCACTCGTATTCGAGGATACCCATCTATTAGGGCGGCTAGCTAATCCTATTGTAGACGCTTGCTCAGACGCATTTTGTGTCAAC